TGATGTTTGTGAAGTACTGTTTACATTTTAGAACAATATAAGAGTAAGTATAATGATAATTTTAAGGAACTCTTATAATTTGAACTATTTTTGTGTAATAAAATATTATTATTATTTTTTCCAAATTATTCATGCGTATAGAAATCTACCTGTGCTATTTCATAATCTGACATCGAAACACTCAACGGCATTTTACAAGTTATCTCTCTATCGATATTGCTCATGTCTAGGGTGAGTGTACCCAAAATGGAACACTTTTTAAAGAAACGTATTAATGTTTCTGAGAGACCATGTTTGTTACTGTAATGAAACAATACATGACCTTAGCCTTCATTTTATGTATTTCTTGGGTTTCAACAGCGCGTGTATCTATTTATAGAGCTCAATAAATTGAGTCAGATTCATTTGGAATTATTAGCTGGTCGAGTACCCAAAATGGAACACTTCATCGTATAAGTCAGTCCATGAAAATAATTGACAGCATTAAATATAATTTTCTTCATTTCAAAAAGGTTTTGAAAATTTCAGACAAAGAGCTATGGCGGGTTGCTATGCCTATTTCTCCAAAGATAGGATCCGCTAGTGTACGCGTCCAACCGTGCACTGTCATGACGCGTCCTCTGGTATTCTCTATCGGAATCTCGTGTCTAAGAACATATTATTGTAAACAGACGAATTTAAGTAAGGCCATGACTATTAAAGCATGCGTTTCACGATAAAAACTCAACAATATGCTTATTTCGCGTTATGCTGTATGAAACACAAGATCTTACAAATATTACAAACCAGTTTGAAATGATTTAATTTTCATTACTACTGCCTACGTCATGCCGTTACTTGTTTTCTTAAAAAGCACACATCTTACCTGTTTTCTTAAAAAGCACACATCTAGATTTTGTTCTTTCTGCACCTTGGAATGGTAAAATTACATATATTTTTCGAATAGCATGTATGTTAAACAATACTGAAAATAAATCTATACTTGCTAGTGTTCTTAAATATATATATAACACAAGAAGACTTGTTTAATTAATCAAAACAATCTCTACATTTTGTTATATACAGTCATAATTGATAAAATACTGTCCTTAAACCATTATGTGATTCTACTGACTGTTATATATACATTGATGTTTATACTATACACCTAAAGGATTAAGCTTTGGGTGCTATTTTTACTAATGGGTGCAATAAAGTAAAACATAAATGTGCTAAGTTTGAATGCTTGGTGTTCTGAAGTTGAATCTGGATTCTTCTCTAGTGGATGATATGTGAACGGTAGAGGCCGTTAGAGACTTTTTGTCTGAAACTCGATGGGATGAAAGATTTACACATAGAGCACTGGCAAATACATAGTCTGCTATATATAGACTGGGGATCTATGCTACTTATTATTTGTAATTTGCATCAATATTTTCTTACTAACCGTTTCATCTTTGTCTTTGTCATGTCAACCTAAGAAGGGAACTTATATAGGCCTAGCCTGCTGTTCAATCTTATTGTTTATTCAATAAAAAATGATGAAATGAAATAGCATGTCTACACGTGTATTGCGCTCCTTACTTTGTGCTGCAGTCTTCCTGCATTTAAAACAAATGAGACTGTCCTAGACGATGAATTTTCCCGCATGTTCGGTAATATCTTTGCGATAACAACAGTTCATTTACTTTTGCTTTGCCTTTTTTTTAATTTTGACGCAACAATCGCATAGATTTTGTATTTCGGCATCATTTGTTTGTGTTTAAATAATAAATAAAAATACAAGTGCCAATTGGAGCGTTAAACAATTCATAAATATCATTTAAAATGATGTCTTAACTACAAAGCGTAGCTGTACTGTACACGCGTACAGGGATTTGTTGACATGATTCCATAAAAGATAACTCAATAGGTATGCTATTAAAATATCAATAAAATGTTCCATTGATTTGAACAATATTTATTACTTAATTAATGCTGAAAAGTGTTCAATTTCGGGGACCCTGGCCTCACCCTATACTGCTCTGTCCGGGTTCTGAATCACACTGATCAGTGTGGTAATAGGTTTCATAGAAACACATTAAATGAAAGCTAAAAGCATCTACTTGTTTCATTTGAGTGAAAAATAGTGTTACTGAAAAAAAGAAGACATGATACACGTTTTAGCATTTTTCTTTAAAACGTGTTCCTTTTTGGGTACCCTCATGTTAACATCTAATGAAGACCTTTGCAATTTGTATGAAAACAAGTATTTCTATAGTTTAATTTATTCCTAGGGTGAGGTTACGGAAAAATGGAACACTTTTTAAGGTATTCCATGTATAATACACTTTTTGTAAGTGAAAAGATATATATTTTTAGTTTCCACACAAGCGTGTGAAGTATTTCCCAAATTTTAATGAACTTTTACCGCATATTTTTCCAGTTTTGATGCATTTTATAAGTACACCCCATAAGGGTCCCGTTCTTTTCAGAGTCCAATAAAATTACAAAAACCTTCTATATGGAGACAGAAATGATTTTATTCACATTTTACAAACAATTTACTTATATATACCGACAAATTGGCCAGACATTGTAAATAACAAATATGAAAAAATAACTCAATACAGAAATACAAAAAATAAAATAAAAAATGCATTTATTCATATTCCCTATTGCCATGAAATTCAAATTATTGTACTCCATTTCTGTAAATGTTTGAAAAAATATTTGTACAACGAATATTATCAGAAATAGGTAAAACAACACATTTATGTTTTTGCAACATCTCCTTACAATATTAATGCAACGTAATAAATCAAATTTTTACCGCCTTAATTTTGAAAAAAATACGACCCCCCAGGCTTTGCCAATTTTGTCCATTTTCGACATTTGAAGTGTCACAGTAAGTTGTCTTGACATCATTTAATCGAAAGTAATGTGCTTGCTATACATCGATCTCTTACGATGTCAATTTCGAAAAATTATGATATTATTCCGTCTTTGCGTATTGCAGAGTTATTTTCTCTTGGGAGCAGGTGTTGATTGTTACGTCATTGGTTTGTGTGAGAAAATTACGTCGTTTTCTCAAAAATTGATGACGTACTCTCACAAACAAGTGACGTAACAATCATTACCTGCTCCCAAGAGAAGATAACTCTGCATACGCAAAGACGGAATAGCCGCGTGTTGGTCAATTTAGTAAACCAGTACAAATCTTAAGAGTCTTATCATTGCAAAAAAAGGTAAGGAGACTTAGAAAAACTTGAAATTAGACTAAATTAACCATACACAACTTAACAGGACTAAAACTTTTATCCTAAAAATATTTAAAATATACTTAGTGCGGAACGACCCAGGGCGAACGGGATTTGGGACGACACGACCTGACACCCATGCATCTTTCACCAAGAACGTTCTGCATGTCTACCTAGCTTCACGTTGTTAAAAAGAGGACAATCGTCATACAAACACTTCAAATTCCTTGACAGAGTGTAATCAGGGGTCGACACTAACAATAGCCCGCTAGTCCTGGCAGATTTCAGCAAGGACTAAAGCACATAACTTACTAGTCCTTTGGACTTGTGAAAAATATGATTTTAAAATAAAAATATTCCTTTTTAAAATTTAGAAAACTGCTTAAAATAAGATACATCGCATGATTATTGTCAAAACTCTCCTTAAAGTTCACCATATTTTTATGGCAGTAGTTATCTTAAGTCCTCTAACACAGTCTATTACTTTTGATGTTTCGTGCTGCGGTAACTCATACCAAAAATGACGTCACTATTATTCCCATATTTCGAAGTTTCCCGATGTTGGCCGATGTTTGCCGATTTTGTTATACATGAAATACCTTAAAGAACATTTTAATATTTCCCATAAAATTTCTGAACATGAGACCATTTTTTTTGACTGAAAGGAAACAAAACATTCCTTAAGCCTTCATTGTATGTATTTCTTGGGTATCAACAGCGCGTGTGTTGAGCTTATCAAAGTGAATCAGATTCACTGGTCGAGTACCCAAAATAGAACACTTCATCATATAAGTCAATTTATGAAAATAACTGACAGCATGTATAAAAAATGTTTTCATTTAAAAAATATTCTGACAAGTTCTGACAAATTTTAGTCATTTAAAAAAATGCTGCATCTTATATATATAAAAAGTGTTCTATTTTGGGTACCATTCCATTTTGAAAACCCTCACCCTAAGAAAAAAAGCCTAATGCGACTAAGGTATAGGAACCCCCTGCATAATTGGGGATTTGCTTTTGTTTCCTCAACTTGGGGACACAAAAGCGACCAAAATATTAATAAAAATGAAATGAAAACGAGAATAAAATCCTTTTTGTCATATAATCAAGATTTGTGGCATTTATTCGTGTTAAACGACAAATTTCATGCAACCTTGAAATGTAAAAAGCCGCAATTTTGGCTCCAGTGTGTAAGTCTGTGACGTCATGTACTTGTCTTAGGCGTGACATCACAATTCACAGGGCTGATAGGTCATATTACATGGGTTAATACGCAAAATAATTATGACATGGGTATATTCACTGGATAACAATGACATTATGTGGTAAAACTAAATGCATCACCCTTCGGGTTCAAGATTTCTCTGTCACACCCTCAAGGTAGGGAGTGACTTTCCCTTCCTATGATTTCAGTAACAAGTCTTATTTGTAAACAAAAGCATATTTGGCGTACGAATGTTCGCCAGTATTTTTTCATAACGTCACAATAGCCATTAACTCTTTTAAAGTCGTAACAATTTACCACTAACTCTGCACGAGGTCTTCCCATAGATGACAAGCTGAATTCCCCGGATAAATAGGGAGGCAAATTAAACCCGTTAAAGTTTTGAGAAAACCAAATCTTTGCTGGCATTTCATCATTGAACGCAAGTACTGTACTTTCATAGTCCGATTTTTTTCCCTATTGTTCGAAACAGAAAATATAGTCCTTGTACGCGCTTTTAAAAAATATTAATCACTATGCAAAATTGCAATTAATGTTTTGATGTGTGACTATTCCAGGCTGCGAGAACACTGACAGTGGTACGGGTATTTATGCCTCCGATCCGGAAGCCTATGATACGTTCGGCGCCGTGCTCATGCCCGTGCTCAGGGACTACCACAAGGTCGCAGAGGTGTCTCATCCAGCCTGTAACTTCGGGGATATAGATAACATTGGCTTCGGCAACCTTGACCCCGATAACCAGTTCATCGTTTCCACACGTGTGAGGGTTGGAAGAAGTCACAAGAGCTTTGGTTTCCCACCAACATGTAACAAAGAGGTATGGCCTAGCAACGTAATTCCAATTTTACTGGAATTGTGGGGTCGTCATCAGAAACACAGGGCCGTGCCATAAGTCTTTTTATATTATTTTATTTTCAGATTGGGTTCGTTTTTAAATATAATTTTCCATAACCATTATACTGGCTTCATTTTAAGCTCACCTGTCCCGAATGGCCAAGTGAGCTTATGGCATGGTGCGGCGTCCGTCGTCCGTCCGTCCGTCCGTCCGTCGTCAACATTTTACTTTAAACAACTTCTTCTCAGGAACCAAAAGGCCTAGGGTGATGATATTTGGCCAGACGCATGCTGGGATGAAGGGCTACCAAGTTTGTTCAAATAAATGACCTTCATCCATTTACAAGGTCACAGGGGTCAAATATGTTAAATTCTTTAAACAACTTCTTCTGAATAACCAAGAGGCATAGGGTGATGATATTTGGCCAGTAACATGCTGGGATGAAGGGCTACCAATTTTGTTCAAATAAATGACCTTGATTTATATTCAAGGTCACATGGGTCAAATTTGTTTAAAACCTTTCAACAACTTCTTCTGAATAACCGATAGGCCTAGGGTGATGATATTTGGCCAGTAGCATGCTGGGATGAAGGGCTACCAAGTTTGTTCAAATACATGACCTTGACTTTTATTCTAGGTCACAGGGGTCAAATATGTTTAAAACATTTAAACAACTTCTTCTGAATAACCAATAGGCCTTGGGTGCATAAATTTGGCCAGTAACATGCTGGGATAAATGGCTACCAAGTTTGTTCAAATAAATGACCTTTATTTATATTCAAAGTCACAGGGGGCAAATATTTTAAAAACCTTTCAACAACGTCTTCTGAATAATCGAGAGACCTAGGGTGATGATATTTGGCCAGTAGCATGCTGGGATGAACGGCTACCAAGTTTGTTCAAATAAATGACCTTCATCCATTTTCAAGGCCACCGGGGTCAAATATGTTTAAAACCTTTAAACAACTACTTCTGAATAACCAAAATGCCCAGGGTACTGATATTTGGCCTTTAGCAATCAGGGCTACCAAATTTGTTCAAATGAATGACCTTGGCCCACTTTCAACCTAATGTAATTGTTTGACATTCAAGGTCACACTGATATTCTTCCTGTAGCTGTATTTTAGTCCACTTTTAAGATTACAAGTGTGATATTAATACCAGGTGAGCGATGCAGGCCAATTGGGCCTCTTGTTTCGTTCCGCTTTGATGATATTGGCACACAATATGAATTTTGATTGATAAGTGTTCCATTTGTTGAAAGAAATATATTATGCTTGATGCTGGGGATTCATAACAGAATCATAGTGTGTTCCCTTATCATGATACAGGATCGTATAAAAATGGAGGAAATGTGCAAAGCGGCGCTGGATTCTCTGGAGGGGGAGCACAAGGGCACGTACTTCCCTCTGGTGGGAATGTCTGATGACGTCAAACAACAGCTTACAGCTGATCACTTCCTGTTCAACGACAAAGACAGGTATGATACCCTAAATCGTAAGTAAGTAAACTCATGCTGAGCTTTTCCCGCCAAGTGGGCCATCTTGTCACAGCAGGCAAATCTTCGATTCCAACGTGGCAACGTGAGGGAACAAAAACAGAACCCCTTTATATTTTTATACATGTAGCAAATAGAAATGTTCCTATTTCATTATTGAATCATCAACTTGTTAATATAATAAAGATGCATTTAGTTCTATTTTACATATGTTTGTATATACCTGAAGCGCGAGCGTCTGTTAAGTAATAGAGCCCATTAAGTGGGGTCAGGTTCACTTGGACGTTTTGCAGGCCGTGACCTCGGAACAACCCATCATTTCAGTTTTTTCTTCATTTCCTGTTAGTTTTGTTACTTTCTGATACAATTTAGTAATTTCTTCGTTAAATTGTCTGAACAAAACAATAATTTCCCCATGTTTAGGATTGTAGCAGGATATTTGCTTTGTCGCGCTGTATCATTTGTGAGAATACTATTTTTTATATACTGCATCACACATATATGAAAAGCGTTCTTTATTTGAGAATAAATAAAATCAACATACAAGATAAACTCTATGTAACTCGGGATACACAGTGGCGTTCGTTTATTAGTAGTCAAACATTTTGTTGTTAATCTTTAGTTTGTTTGACTTTTTTTCTTGAAAAATCGGCGATTAAAAAAATCCTGATCTAGTTATTATTACATGTTTATCACTGGAGATGGAAGTCTCTTAGTGAGCCGGGGGCCTTATCGTTAATTCATGAAGAATATATTAGATGATGTCCTTTACAAATCATTTAAATGAATTAACTAAAATGTTGCACAATTGGTGATAAAACGAAAGCAGCAATTTTTGCCCTGGATTGTGACGTCAAACTATTATTCTATTATGGCCCTTTCCCGAGGGACTGTTCTCTTATAGGGTTGTCTGGGGGAGGTATAGTGCCCGAGCCGTTAGACCAGGGCACTATACCTCCCCAGACGACACTATAAGAGAACTGTTCCCGAGGGAAATGGTCATAATAGATTTAGTACATCACAGATTCTTGTAAATGCCGCCGACAATCTTACATGATGGCAATACAAGAACTTTTTGAGTAGATCTCTCCTTTTTATTGCGTATATTGGCATAGAAATCCACCAAAACTCCGTTCGATTCACTGAATTGAATCACCGCTAGGTCACATACGGTTCCCTTTCCAGTAGGAAGTCTTTAAATACTGCGACGGCAAATTATGTCGCCTGCTTCGTCTTTATGCATTACTGAGCCTCTGCGAAGTAATCGGCATTCCCGGTCCCGAATCTCGAAACAATTTTGGTAGACGACAACAATGAAGTGAAAGTAAAATATGTACAGCGCTCTCTAGGAGAAGGGGCGCAACTCTTAGCGTCACTCTACTTTTCCCGCACTCTCAGCGGTTCAAACAAAAAAGGAATAGTGCCCGTCTCCAGGTATATTTCCCGTTGTCAAGGGTGGATGCTATTTATACCAAATAGAACAAGGGTAGTTATCCAATAGCTATTCTAGAAATTATCATGTGATGTACTAAATATATATATATATATAGCTAAGTGATATTATACATGTTGTATCGGAAGTGTTTGTGTTATTACGTATATACACTGTGTAGCAGTGTCTGTGACCATTGGTGTAACAGTTGTAAATGATCACTGGTGTAACAGTTGAAAATAATTATTACCAGGTTTCTGAAGGCTGCAGGTGGCTATGACGATTGGCCTCATGGCAGAGGAATCTTCCACAACCCCGATAAGACATTTTTGATCTGGGTAAACGAGGAGGATCATCTCCGGATCATATCCATGCAGATGGGCGGTGACCTTGGAGCCGTATACACGAGACTTGTCAAGGTCGGTCCGCCGCTACAGCCTTTCTAACCTTACATTATGCAGCAAACCCACTTTGTAATATGAATTGCAAATTTCTTGCAATCTGATTAGTTGAAATCTATTTCGATGACCTTGATGTTAAGATATTTCTCAACGATTTGTCGTTGTTAATCTAATTCGTCAAGTTTTAGAAAGATATGAAATTAACCCAAAAGTTCATATGTTTTTTCGATCGAGGAAATGATATCCATGAATAATGAATTCACAATTGAAGATGCCAGCGCAAACATTGTTAAATGACGTCATGATTAAACGAATGCCAATAGAATCACGCCAAGTGTGTTACCCACACGTAAATGTGTATCAACTATTTGCATGCTTCATGATACAGGGTAATTGAAGAAGGGGAATTCCACCTTCAAGGGTAGAATTGTGATATCCTCATATTTATATATTAGTCCAAATTAAACCTAAAGGTATCTAAAAGAAACTGATTTTCCCCATGTGATGCATGTGAGATACACGGGTTCTATCTTTTTCTTACCCTGGACATGAATTCTCTGTGTGAAATGTATTTGTTCCATTTTAGGGTTAACAGTAGCTAGGTCTATCACTATGTGGAAGCGCAAGACTATACCTAAGTTACCTATGATTAACTCGCTGTCTAACAGTGCATTTTACGGTTCTGATATTTTCAAATGCATGTTGTAGTCATGCACTAAATGAAACAGGGGATATGCTCGGCCTCTTAATGACAGCTATATTGCACTAGTGCGGTGGATACTGTTAATGTTATTTACGTGTGAATAGTGAGATCTATTCCTAACAAGATTGACACTTGATTACTATACAGGTGTATTTTTACTCTATGTTTTGTATTTTTCAGGGTATCCAAAAAATGTCAGAGAAACTAGAGTTTGCCCATCATGACAAGTTAGGTTTCCTGACGTTTTGTCCAACCAATCTGGGAACCACCCTCCGCGCCAGTGTCCACATCAAGATTCCTAAGCTGGCGGCCACTCCAGAGTTCAAGGAATTCTGTGATAAATATAACATCCAAGCCAGAGGTAGTCCTGTAGTTCTGGGTCACTGTATAAATCAGTTCTTTTACCTAGGTGATATTGACCATTGCTGTGAGTAGGAGGTAATAATGACCATTGCTTTGAAAAGGATGTGATATTGACCATTGCTGTGAGTAGGAGGTGATATTGACCATTGCTGTGAGTAGGAGGTTATATAAACCATTGCTGTGAGTAGGAGGTGATATTGACGATTGCTGTGAGTAAGAGGTGATATTAACCATTGCTGTGAGTAGGTGATATTGACCATTGCTGTGTGAAGGAGGTGATATAAACTATTGCTGTGAGTAGGAGGTGATATCACCTCCTACTCACAGCAATGTTTAATATCCCCTCCTACTCACAGCAATGGATTATATCACCGCCTACTCACAGTAATGGTTCATATCACCTCCTACTCACAGCTATAGTTTATATCACCTCCTTCTTACAGCAATGGTCAATATCACGTCCTACTCACAGCAATGGTCAATCTCACCTCCTACTCACAGCAGTGGTCAATATCACCTCCTACCCACAGCAATGGTCAATATCCCCTCCTACTCACAGCAATGTTTAATATCACCTCTTACTCACAGCAATCGTCAATATCACCTCCTACAGGTAAAGAGGACATGGAAGGTAAAGAGGATAAAGAGGACATGGAAGGATCATAACCAACAACAGTGACCGAATCACGTAGTCCTGTCCGTCCTCACTGTTGTTGGTTATGATCCTTCCATGTCCTCTTTATCTTCAATGCCCTCTTTATGTTCCATGTCCTCTTTATCTTCCATGTCCTCTTTATCTTCCATGTCCTCTTTATCTTCAATGCCCTCTTTATGTTCCATGTCCTCTTTATCTTCAATGCCCTCTTTATGTTCCATGTCCTCTTTATCTTCAATGCCCTCTTTATGTTCCATGTCCTCTTTATCTTCCATGCCCTCTCTCTCTCTCTCTCTCTGATATTGACCATTGTTGTGAGTAGGAGGTGATATCACCTCCTACTCACAGAAATGGTTTATATCACCTCCTACTCATAGCAATGGTCAATATCACCTGCTCACAGCAATGGTTTATATCAGCTCCTACTCCCAGCAATGGTTAATTTCACCTCCTACTCACAGCTATGGCTAATATCACTTTCTACTCACAGCAATGGTTCATATCACCCCCTACTCACAGCAATGGTCAGTATCACCTCCTACTCACAGAAATGGTTTATATCACCTCCTAGTAAAGAGGATAAAGAGGACATGGAAGGATCATAACCAACAACAGTGAGGACGGACAGGACTACGTGATTCGGTCACTGTTGTTGGTTATGATCCTTCCATGTCCTCTTTATAAGCTGATATTGACCATATCTGTGAGTAGGAGGAGATATTAACCATTGCTGTGAGTGGGAGGTGATATTAACCATTGCTGTGAGTAGAAAGTGATATAGACCATATCTGTGAGTAGGAGGTTATATGAACCATTACTGTGAGTAGGCGGTGATATAAACCATTGCTGTGAGTAGGAGGTGATATAAACCATTGCTGTGAGTAGGAGGTGATATGAACCATTGCTGGGAGTCGGAGGTGATATTGACCATATCTGTGAGTAGGAGGTTATATGAACCATTGCTGTGAGTAGGAGGTGATATGAACCATTACTGTGAGTAGGCGGTGATATAAACCATTGATGTGAGTAGGAGGTGATATAAACCATTGCTGTGAGTACCATTGCTGTGAGTAGGAGGGGATATTGACCATTGCTGTGAGAAGGAGGTGATATTGACCATTGTTATGAGTAGGAGGTGATATAAACCATTTCTGTGAGTAGGAGGTGATATTAAACATTGCTGTGAGTAGGAGGTGATATTGACCATTGCTGTGAGTAGGAGCTATGACCGAGGTTTCACATAACGATATACTTTTATTGACGAATACATTTCTGAAAATCCAGTTTGATATATGAATTCTTTTATGTTTTCACGAGTGTTGTATTAAATACGAGAAACTATTCATCACAGGAGGTTAAGTATCTTTTTACCAGGAGTAATTCCTAGGAACAAGATAAAATATATGTAATGTACATGTAGTAACAGTACTAGATCCATTTGGTTCAGATGTCACAACCAAATACATATGAAAAGGAGGTTGAAGTCTTTCCCTATCCTACACTTTTGGGCATGAAAGTTTTTTTCTTCTCTCATTCCGACTACCAGAATAATTTCATCACGTTGCCTTTTCCTCATTGCGGCATCGGAGAGTTCCAAATTCGTGATGTCACGTCATTGTCGAGTCATTGTTACGTCACGTCACGTGAAATGGGGTGTACGATTATGGTTTATTACATACCTAGACGTGTTCCCTATGTGTATTATATTTCCTGCAACATTATGTTCAGGATTGTCCCGTGTAAATTGTCGATGTGCTTTAGAAATCTTACCAAATAGCGGTGGCAGAAGAAAATGACTTCGACTAATGACCAATGACGTCAGGTACCATAGCGAAAAAAAGCCGCGAAAATATCTCCAACCTCCATTCTTGTTATGAATAATCGTTTAGAGTATAGTCCTCGCTACAGGAGTAATAATAACACAGAGTACAGCGTAATATGTGGAACTTCGCATAGCTTGGCCTTAATCCTGCTCTATCGCTGTAGGTATATTACGCATGCCGACAAACTATAATATGACGTCATTGTTAATCAAACATGACGTCATTCAATTGTTTCATTGTGATGTTACCATCGGTGTTGCTTGATTGTTTGTATCTTTGGAGTGTTTGGGATTTAACGTTCTTACAACAGCCAGGAGGACGGGTGCCTAGGACGACACCGCCTGAGAGAGAACCGAGTATTGGAAAAGAAAATAGACAGGAAAGACAGGGAACAAAATATATCTAAAGTGTTGCAACGGGAACAAACGATCAATGTTGGTCTCTTCCATGTCCTGACGTCATTGTTAATCAAACATGACGTCATTGTTATCTTTACCTTTCATGTCCTCTTTATCTTCCCTGTCCTCTTTATCCTCTTTACCTTCCATGTCCTCTTTATCTTCCATGTCCTCTTTACCTTCCATGTTATCTTTACCTTTCATGTCCTCTTTATCTTCCCTGTCCTCTTTATCCTCTTTACCTTCCATGTCCTCTTTATCTTCCATGTCCTCTTTACCTTCCATGTTATCTTTACCTTTCATGTCCTCTTTATCTTCCCTGTCCTCTTTATCCTCTTTCCCTTCCATGTCCTCTTTATCCTATTTATCTTCCATGTCCTTTTTACCCTCTTTATCTTCCATCTCCTCTTTACCTTCCATGTCCTCTTTACCTTCCATGTCCTCTTTATCCTCTTTACCTTCCACGTCCTCTTTATCTTCCATGTCCTCTTTACCCTCTTTATCTTCCATGTCCTCATTACCCTCTTTACCCTCTTTATCTTCCATGTCCTCTTTACCTTCCATGTCCTCTTTATCCTCTTTACCTTCCATGTCCTCTTTATCTTCCATGTCCTCTTTATCCTATTTATCTTCCATGTCCTTTTTACCCTCTTTATCTTCCATGTCCTCATTACCCTCTTTACCCTCTTTACCTTCCATGTCCTCTTTATCTTCAATGCCCTCTTTATCTTCCATGTCCTCTTTATCTTCCATGTCCTCTTTACCTTCCATGTCCTCTTTACCTTCGCCCTCTACGAAACTGTATGTTATTTAACAGACAACTAATTGTTGATCATTTCCTGTACAGTTCACCAGTAAACTGTTATATACATGACGATCCTTTTTTACCCCGATTACAGGTATCCACGGTGAACACACGGAGAGTGTGGGAGGGGTGTACGACATCTCCAACAAGAGAAGACTGGGTCTTTCCGAGTACGATGCCCTCATGGAAATGAAGGCAGGCGTGGAAGCCGTCATCGCAGAGGAGAAACGATTATCTTAGTTCACGAGGTCAAGGACGTCGATAGAAAGGTTAACATAAGGACAGTGTTATGTCTGTAAAGTCATGGGAACACTGTCTTGAGGAGTTATCATATCGGCTCTTTACTGAACTTGACTGTCATGTCAGTCTTTAATAAAAAAAAATCTTTATCATATACCCTGTATTATTCATGATTTCCACTAGCACAATATCCTGGATTTCGACATGTACTGGTTTTCCCTTTAATACCATGTATTTGATCGTATGTCAGAATATACCGATATTTTCATCATTGCTTCTTGTTCGTGACCAGTAACGATATTGTTCTATACCCCTGAAATGTATGTGGTAATATCTAATGATATTCACTCAATAACCATTGTTCCAGAGACTAGAATTTCGGGAGCTCCACCATCTATTTAATTTACATGTGCTCAACTGGAGTTACATGTATCAACTCTTAACCTGATCAAAACAAAAAGCTATTCCTTTATTAAACGGGAAAATTTAAGGGTTCTATTAATTACTTTAATGTTACAAGACGCAAATATTGCTGCATCAGAAATTATTAGTGGAATATCTGACACCAGGTTACAATGACGTAACACTGAACAAGAACGACAAGGAACCATTCTGAAATGTCACTCAACACAATTCTGCCTTTTTGCTGCTATTATCTAGTAATATTTCCAAACAAAAATGACATCAATTATTGAGTTATTTAAATACCATAATGTATGTTACAAAGATGTATCAAAACAACCACTTATACTGCTGTCGCGTTATCTGAACTTGAAACTGAACGTCTACGCGGTGAGTAGAAAGTATCCTTCTGACTGTACACTACTGCAACTGATATCTTTACATGTGAAAATAGACCTATATTGTTTCGTATATACCTGATGTTTCACTGGCAAAGTGTGATAAATACAACTAACGTTTCCACCCTGTCACCGTATTTCTGACCAACGCTATGGAAAAACTTTCAGGGAGAAATTGGGAAAACAGAACGGGTTACATTAATTTAGTTCGCTTCTGTCTAGTATCTTATGGTAAATAAGTTGAAAAATGCTTGAATACAAGTACTTGGCTCATTATTATTGAAGAATAGATAATAGATCATATTGATCACAATAAATCTTAGTTCGCGTTGCTTCCCTTGGATCGTGATTACAATGAGCTTCACTAATATTGTGATCGAGGAATATATGAGTAGTAATTATAGATCATCATCAATAGTGGTAAAATAAAATGCAATTTCGTTATATATAAAGAATGGAGACATTGCATTTAGCCGGTAAAAACGTAAGATTAAGACTTTCAAAAACAAAAGCATTTGGTTCAGCATTGAACACGGACGAAAAATGTACGATTTCAGAGAAAGACCTCCCCGATATGCTACTTTATTCAATAATCTTAAACTGTTAGATACCGACACGCAATCGGAATCGTGATTTAAGGGCCATCCAAAGAACAATATGAAACTAAGGAAATGGTTTTTATAGAGATAGATAAGATAAATACATCAGCTTTTAGATTTACATTTAGCAGTCCTGAATATCAGTAGAATGGCTTGGGATCTAGTATTAAAATGAATTTAACGAAATGACAGGGAAACGCTGAAGTCTATCCTAAAACCTATGTATATTGAAGGACGTTGCACCAGCACTTCACGGAAAAGCTAACCAGGGCCAGTATTCATGAAACCGGTCTCATGCTCAAGCATGGATTTTGTGCTCAAGCCTTGTTTCTTGTTCCGTTTATAAATGATAATATAATAATAAAATCTAAAATTGTCATTAATATGAAAAAAATACCTTTGCAGACAGTCTAAGATGGTGATCTACACATAACCAGTGTCCTACAGTGAGGACGGACAGGACTACGTGATTCGGTCACTGTTGTTGGTTATGATCAGGGTTCAAAGAATGCTTTAGTAACAGCAACGGTCTTAAAGACAAGTTACCAGGGATACACCTCCAAAAAGAATGAAGAGGTGGGGGAGAGAAGAAACAACTCTGGTGGCTGAAATCTCCAAATTCGTGACGTAACGTCATTGTTGAGCAATAGTTACATCACGTCACGCGAAACGGGATGTAAGGTAGCATCTTCTTACACCCCTTTCTTACCATGGTAATCTATATATTACACATACGGGAATACAATAATAATAACATCTATTACATGTAACTGAGCGAGAGCGGCTTATCTCAATCGATATATACATCAAAACAATATATAAGTTTATAACAACAAAACAAAATGTTTCTAATGTAATCTTACAATAGTAATACAACAATTTTCTGTTGATGTTTTCTGTCGGTTTGTATCACACATGTGTGATACAAGATGTTGTATCACCATTTTTACGGGATCCCCTTGTCATGGCGAACTGTAAAGTTCCCAGTATTTGCAAAAAATATCAAAGTTTATAAAATCTTTGTATCAATCTCTACCAAATACGGAAGGAATGTGATAAAAGCAAGACCACACACTTGTGTTTTTTTTGAACGAATCAGAAAGCACTCATTTATTGCGCAGACGTATATATATACCATATGTAGCCCTATGTCATGTACAAAATGCATTTAGAAACTTTCATATATTGATAATGATAAATGATTATAACAACAGTTGTGGATAAAAATGCAGCTTGAATTAATTCAATACCAGAGGAAGAAATAAGCCTGCTGTCTCTTACTGCATTTCGTCGTAAGAGGCGGCTGATGTAGAACTCATTTCATAACCAGCGGTGTTCCTCTGTTTCTTCTGGGTCTCCTGCTTGTTGAAAGAATCCGAAAGAGATCTATACTTCCCCTATTGTAACATTTTGGACCTCGAGGCATCAGCTGTTTTTAACCTTCCTACCATTTCTGTTAGGTGGTGCCTCCTTGTGCACCCGTCTTCATAAGTCCTCAGTTTTTGAGAGGACGTTCAACCCCGAATAAATAAATAAAAGTACTAAAACAATGGACTACTTAACCATTTTTGTTTGTTTACGTCATCTAGGGATCTGTAAGAAAACTCCAAAGCATTTTGTAAACAAAGTGAAATAGTTTGCACAGTATTCGATCTGTATTCTTAAAAGAAAACTCGAAATAAATATATAAACCCAAAGCAACTCGAAAACATTTCTTTGGAAAGAACAACGAGCAAGTAGAAGTTTGTCATGACCAGTTGTATTGACTGTCAGTCAAGGTAACGCAGGAAGTTATTTTTTCTCCCATGTAAATGCTTTGATTTTTTTCTATGGTAAAGAGTATGTCACATGTGGCATCAAATAATATCACACGTGGCATCAGAGTAGGTCACACGTGGCATCAGAATGTGTCACACTTGACATCATAATGTGTCACACGTGACATCAGAGTGTGTCACACGTGACACAGCGGGTTACGGAGGTTTGTTGCACAGAGACAGCGTACTCAACGTATCGTTCACGTGTATCCACTTGGCATGCGCATCACGTTTTGTCACTGAAATGTAAAGAAAATGGTGTTACTTGTAGTTGAGAGACAATGGTTATTGTGTAAACTGTGTGCAATTTACATAATCCATGAAGTGCACACAGAGTTTTAAGGGACATGTATAACAAAACCAAAAAAAAACCAGTTGCTGATGGGGGTTGATTACTTCAATTTTTAATTATAATTTCAACAGATTTTAATGACGTTGTATAAGTCTTTTCCAAACTTATTTACAAACATTGTATATATTCTATTGAAAGCTCAGTTGCGGAGTGCATTCTAAAGACATTCGTGGCCTTGATTTGTTTGGCAATCCGCTCATGTAGTATTCTGTCTCTTACTGATTTATCTGTGACGATTATGATATTCTGACAAATTGCTAGTTTACATTGGTTGATGTAGCATCGACCTTGTTATACCTTAACAAAATACTCCCCATAAGTTATATGGTAAATTATTGCCATATTTTGACTAGTTTTACTCTCTTCAATGTGAACTGTTGACTTGACTTAATTTCTGATTAGTGAACTGTTGACTAGACTAACTTGATTATTAGTGAAATGTTGACTTGACTCAATTTCTGGTTAGTGAACTGTTTACTAGACTTACTCAATAATTAGTGAACTGTTGACTAGACTTAATTTCTGATTAGTGAACTGTTGACTAGATTTAATACCTGATTAGTGAACTGTTGACTAGATTTAATACCTGATTAGTGAACTGTTGACTAGACTTAATTTCTGATTAGTGAACTGTTGACTAGATTTAATTTCTGATTAGTGAACTGTTGACTAGACTTAATTTCTGATTAGTGAACTGTTGACTAGACTTAATTTCTGATTAGTGAACTGTTGACTAGACTTAATTGATTATTAGTGAAATGCTGACTAGGCTTAATTAATTTTTCAGGAACATCGGCTGTATTCGGCAGTTTCTGACTGCAGATGGATGCAAGATTTTGGTGCATTCACTTGTTACCTCTCGGTTGGATTATGGTAACGCCCTGCTCTGTGGTATATCTTACAAACTAACTAGTCGTCTGCAGAGGGTTCAGAACACTGCAGTACGGCTAGTTACTCGTACTCGAAAGAGAGAGCACATCACACCTGCGCTTTATTTGTTGCACTGGTTACATAATGTACCTGTACGATACAGTTCGCAGTACAAAATTCTGTTGACTCGACCTTGCGGAAGAATGACAACAATGTCGCAATTGTCGAAGTTTTTTTGAGACGGGGATTATTGGATTCCAGTAGTGATAGTAAACAGAAATATAACTAAAACTTTTGATTTGGATCACATGGGTAGATAATTTGTAGGTCTAACTCACATGGTGTGAATAATATGCCCGATTATTCGGTTATTGGTTTCGAAAACCGGTTCGCGGTCTTCCGACCGGTTAACCGGTTAACCAGCTAACCGTTGCCATCCCTAGTAATTAATAATGTAGGGTACAACAAACAGTTGCCCGTAAACTCGATCAATGTTGGAGTATTGTTCACCTCTTCGTAGCTGATTTTTGACTTGTACCCACCTTGTCATAGTCGGATTGTTTGACCTCCACAGAGATCAGTGTATACAGCTTCTTGTAACTTATGTTTAACACATTGTACTTGAGGCTGTTCAGTCCGTCCGCTTTGTATCGTTTTGCTGCATCTCGAAGCAAACCAAACCTGAAGTAAAAGAAATATAATCAAGACATCTACAAAAGCTAAAAAGCTTACAACGAGGTAGACTACAGCAAAAGATACAGTGAAAGACTGCAGAAACAACTCTATACAAATATCAATGATCGAAGTACAAAGTAAGAAGGCACATATTTTAAAATTTCTAGTCAATCGATGAAGAAAGACAAACAACGTTAACATTGGCAACTCTTAACGGTCTCGGAGACTTATAGTCCACTAGTACAAATTGTAGTGTAAAATAATCAACGGTCTCGGAGACTAATTGTCCACTAGTACAATTGTAGTGTAAAATAATCAACGGTCTCGGAGACTTATAGTCCACTAGTACAAATTGTATTGTAAAATAATCAACGGTCTCGGAGACTAATTGTCCACTAGTACAAATTGTAGTGTAAAATAATCAACTGTCTCGGAGACTTATATTCCACTAGTACAAATTGTAGTGTAAAATAATCAACGGTCTCGGAAGACTTATAGTCCATTAGTACAAATTGAAGTGTAAAATAATCTTTAGGAAAACGAAGTCAGGAAACACCAAAATATAGGTCCGTACAGAAAGACAAACAACGTTAATATTTGAGTCATCATATTGCCATTTCGGACTGAACAGTTGTACTAAAGATAAAAAATATCACTTGAGGTCATATTTTAGAGATAAGTGTGATGATGAATGTAATTTAAAGTCTAAACCTTTTAAAATGAGCATTGTTTTACATTCTAAAAAAGGGTCATGAAAAGCCCTGAGGTTTTAGTTCTTCTTCATTTAGCAGCCTTAGGAAACATATATTATTACATACAAATACAATAGTCAATATCCATGTACCCATACACGCTGTGTATGTCACAAGTGATCAAGGAGCTGAATATATCTGTGTATCATGTACACCAAAAGTCTGGTAGTAATACCTGCCTGTAACGGTTATGTGTATCACCAAAAGTCTAGTACATGTAGTTATACCTACCCGTACAGTTTATGTGTATCACAAAAAGTCTATTAGTTATATCTACCTGTATAGGTTATGTATATCACCAAAAGTGTAGTAGTAATACCTGCCTGTATAGGTTATGTGTATCACCAAAAGTGTAGTAGTTATACCTACCCGTATAGGTTATGTGTATCACCAAAAGGCTATTAGTTATACTTACCTGTAACGGTTATGTATATCACCAAAAGTCTAGTAGTTATACCTACCTGTAACGGTTATGTATATCACCAAAAGTCTATTAGTTATACCTACCTGTAACGGTTATGTGTATCACCAAAAGAGTAGTAGTTATACCTACATGTATAGGTTATGTGTATCACCAAAAGTGTAGTAGTTATACCTACCTGTAACGGTTATGTGTATCACCAAAAGTGTAGTAGTTATACCTCCCTGTAACGGTTATGTGTATCACCAAAAGTGTAGTAGTTATACCTACCCGTATAGGTTATGTGTATCACCAAAAGTCTATTAGTTATACTTACCTGTAACGGTTATGTGTATCACCAAATGTGTAGTAGTTTTACCTACCTGTAACGGTTATGTATGTCACCAAACGTGTAGTAGTTATGCCTACCTGTATAGGTTATGTATGTCACCAATAGTGTAGTAGTTATGCCTACCTGTATAGGTTATATATGTCACCAAAAGTGTAGTAGTTATGCCTACCTGTATAGATCTTTTATATCACCAAAAGTGAAGTAGGTATATGCCTACCTGTATAGGTTATATATGTCACCAAAAGTCTAGTATTTATACCTCCTTTTATATATTATGTATGTCTCCAGAAGTTGAAGAGCTGAACCTACCTCTTTGGGTTCTCGGCGTTACCGCTTTCATGATGATGATTAATCATCTTGTACCTGGCAATATTTATGGGGTACCTTTGTATCGTGTAGCCCTCAGCTCGTACCCTGTAAATGTGCGACGAAAGATAATGTTCAAATTAAGTGATTAAAAGAGATTGATTAACATCTCAGAACACCTGAACCAACAATATTCGATATAAGTTACAAATACTGCAAACCAACTGAAAGAAAAATGTCGTTTCTGTATTTCATAAAATTACACGAGAGATAAGCTGTGTGTGGTTATATGAACCTGAAAAGTTATATTAACCTTGAGTTCGTTTCGGTTAATATCACTTTCCGAAATTCACCACACCACATATTCACCTCAACAAAAAATCATAACTGATAACCTTTTACCGGAAGAGTCAACCATCTTTTTACGAAAAATAATAAATAAGAAGCAAGGAATACTAATAACATCGTATTTTGATAATCAAAGATTAGATCAAAGAATATTATTTTTTTTGACTTTTGAACAGAGAATGTTTAATTTCCCCCAAATATTCCAACATCAATATCATAAGGTATTCTATAGATGATTTTCTTACCTCGAGCATAAATCGTCATCTTCCCCTCCCCAACCGAAATATTTGTTTGAAAATCCGTTTATCTTTACGAAGGCCTCTTTTGGAATTTGTGAAACACCTCCAAATAAACCTGTGTAAGGAAGTCTGAAAAAAAAGAAACTTTAACTGAAGAAATAACCTGGACTCACCTAGTTAAAACATGAACGTATGTTTCTACTGTGCATGTGTAAGATTGTGAATTATTCGCAAAATGAATAACATTAGATACAATCACTATAGTATTCAAATGAGTCAAAATATATACATGTCTATCAGATATATAATCCCAAACTGCAAAGACGTCACTGAGATACGCGAATGTAAAACTTATTTATAAACTAGGACTATGTGGGCGGATTGGTCGAGTGGTTAACACTTCGGCCTTCTAAGCAGGCGGCCGGGGTTCGATCCCCGAAGTCGCCGTACGCATGGAATATTAGAGAAAGTGTTTTTCTCCTGCCCACACAACTTCAACAACCCAGGAGGAGTATAAAATGGTCTGGGGTGGGTGTTGCGGTATCTGTGCTGTAGCATTCATGTGAGGTGGCACTATAAATGATACCGTTGGAAGCAAGGTTTCACTACAAACAGAACACAACACATCTCCAGCACACACACAGGCATACACACATAGGGAGATATTAGCCAGGTGGCATAGGACTAGTAGTAAGCGCCTGATAAGACAGCTCCTGCGAATTCCTCAATATTGTATTGATTAATATATATGCTAATTGTATTGACGGTAAAACATTGTATATCTATGTACTTTAGAGTGCTTTAGAGTGGTGTTTAGCTAGATGGGGCGCTATATCAAATGTTGCATATTATTATTATTAGAATTACTATTGCACTGAGATACGCGAATGTAAAACTTACTTATAAACTAGGAGCATGTCACTGAGATACGCGAATGTAAAACTTACCTATACACGAGGATTATGTCACCGAGATACGCGAATGTAAAACTTAATTATAAACTAGGAGCATGTCACTGAGATACGCGAATGTAAAACTTACTTATAAACAAGGACTATGTCACTAAGATACGCGAATGTAAATCTTACTTATAAACTAGGACTCTGTCACTAAGATACGGGAATGTACAACTTACTTATAAACTAGGACTCTGTCACTGAGATACGGGAATGTACAACTTACTTATAAACTAGGATTACGTCACTGAGATACGCGACTGTAAAACTTACTTATAAACTAGGAGCATGTCACTGAGAAACTAGAATTATGTCACTGAGATACGCGAATGTAAAACTTACGTACTAATAAACTAGGATTATGTCACTGAGATACGCGAATGTAAAACTTACTTATAAACTAGGACTCTGTCACTGAGATACGGGAATGTACAACTTACTTATAAACTAGAAGCATGTCACTGAGAAACTAGGAGGATGTCACTGAGATACGCGATTGTAAAACTTACTTATAAACTAGGACTATGTCACTAAGATACGCGAATGTAAAACTTACTTATAAACTAGGAGCATGTCACTGAGAAACTAGAAGTATGTCACTGAGATACGCGAATGTAAAACTTACGTACTAATAAACTAGGATTATGACACTGTGATACGCGAATGTAAAACTTACTTATAGACTAGGAGGATGGCACTGAGAAACTAGGAGGATGGCACTGAGATACGCGAATGTAAAACTTACTTATAAACTAGGAGGATGGCACTGAGATACGCGAATGTAAAACTTACTTATAAACTAGGAGGATGGCACTGAGATACGCGAATGTAAAACTTACTTATAAACTAGGAGGATGGCACTGAGATACGCGAATGTAAAACTTACTTATAAACTAGGAGGATGGCACTGAGATACGCGAATGTAAAACTTACTTATAAACTAGGAGGATGGCACTGAGATACGCGAATGTAAAACTTACTTATAAACTAGGAGGATGGCACTGAGATACGCGAATGTAAAACTTACTTATAAACTAGGAGGATGGCACTGAGATACGCGAATGTAAAACTTACTTATAAACTAGGAGGATGGCACTGAGATACGCGAATGTAAAACTTACTTATAAACTAGGAGGATGGCACTGAGATACGCGAATGTAAAACTTACTTATAAACTAGGAGGATGGCACTGAGATACGCGAATGTAAAACTTACTTATAAACTAGGAGGATGGCACTGAGATACGCGAATGTAAAACTTACTTATAAACTAGGAGGATGGCACTGAGATACGCGAATGTAAAACTTACTTATAAACTAGGAGGATGGCACTGAGATACGCGAATGTAAAACTTACTTATAAACTAGGAGGATGGCACTGAGATACGCGAATGTAAAACTTACTTATAAACTAGGAGGATGGCACTGAGATACGCGAATGTAAAACTTACTTATAAACTAGGAGGATGGCACTGAGATACGCGAATGTAAAACTTACTTATAAACTAGGAGGATGGCACTGAGATACGCGAATGTAAAACTTACTTATAAACTAGGAGGATGGCACTGAGATACGCGAATGTAAAACTTACTTATAAACTAGGAGGATGGCACTGAGATACGCGAATGTAAAACTTACTTATAAACTAGGAGGATGGCACTGAGATACGCGAATGTAAAACTTACTTATAAACTAGGAGGATGGCACTGAGATACGCGAATGTAAAACTTACTTATAAACTAGGAGGATGGCACTGAGATACGCGAATGTAAAACTTACTTATAAACTAGGAGGATGGCACTGAGATACGCGAATGTAAAACTTACTTATAAACTAGGAGGATGGCACTGAGATACGCGAATGTAAAACTTACTTATAAACTAGGAGGATGGCACTGAGATACGCGAATGTAAAACTTACTTATAAACTAGGAGGATGGCACTGAGATACGCGAATGTAAAACTTACTTATAAACTAGGAGGATGGCACTGAGATACGCGAATGTAAAACTTACTTATAAACTAGGAGGATGGCACTGAGATACGCGAATGTAAAACTTACTTATAAACTAGGAGGATGGCACTGAGATACGCGAATGTAAAACTTACTTATAAACTAGGAGGATGGCACTGAGATACGCGAATGTAAAACTTACTTATAAACTAGGAGGATGGCACTGAGATACGCGAATGTAAAACTTACTTATAAACTAGGAGGATGGCACTGAGATACGCGAATGTAAAACTTACTTATAAACTAGGAGGATGGCACTGAGATACGCGAATGTAAAACTTACTTATAAACTAGGAGGATGGCACTGAGATACGCGAATGTAAAACTTACTTATAAACTAGGAGGATGGCACTGAGATACGCGAATGTAAAACTTACTTATAAACTAGGAGGATGGCACTGAGATACGCGAATGTAAAACTTACTTATAAACTAGGAGGATGGCACTGAGATACGCGAATGTAAAACTTACTTATAAACTAGGAGGATGGCACTGAGATACGCGAATGTAAAACTTACTTATAAACTAGGAGGATGGCACTGAGATACGCGAATGTAAAACTTACTTATAAACTAGGAGGATGGCACTGAGATACGCGAATGTAAAACTTACTTATAAACTAGGAGGATGGCACTGAGATACGCGAATGTAAAACTTACTTATAAACTAGGAGGATGGCACTGAGATACGCGAATGTAAAACTTACTTATAAACTAGGAGGATGGCACTGAGATACGCGAATGTAAAACTTACTTATAAACTAGGAGGATGGCACTGAGATACGCGAATGTAAAACTTACTTATAAACTAGGAGGATGGCACTGAGATACGCGAATGTAAAACTTACTTATAAACTAGGAGGATGGCACTGAGATACGCGAATGTAAAACTTACTTATAAACTAGGAGGATGGCACTGAGATACGCGAATGTAAAACTTACTTATAAACTAGGAGGATGGCACTGAGATACGCGAATGTAAAACTTACTTATAAACTAGGAGGATGGCACTGAGATACGCGAATGTAAAACTTACTTATAAACTAGGAGGATGGCACTGAGATACGCGAATGTAAAACTTACTTATAAACTAGGAGGATGGCACTGAGATACGCGAATGTAAAACTTACTTATAAACTAGGAGGATGGCACTGAGATACGCGAATGTAAAACTTACTTATAAACTAGGAGGATGGCACTGAGATACGCGAATGTAAAACTTACTTATAAACTAGGAGGATGGCACTGAGATACGCGAATGTAAAACTTACTTATAAACTAGGAGGATGGCACTGAGATACGCGAATGTAAAACTTACTTATAAACTAGGAGGATGGCACTGAGATACGCGAATGTAAAACTTACTTATAAACTAGGAGGATGGCACTGAGATACGCGAATGTAAAACTTACTTATAAACTAGGAGGATGGCACTGAGATACGCGAATGTAAAACTTACTTATAAACTAGGAGGATGGCACTGAGATACGCGAATGTAAAACTTACTTATAAACTAGGAGGATGGCACTGAGATACGCGAATGTAAAACTTACTTATAAACTAGGAGGATGGCACTGAGATACGCGAATGTAAAACTTACTTATAAACTAGGAGGATGGCACTGAGATACGCGAATGTAAAACTTACTTATAAACTAGGACTATGTCACCGAGATACGTGAATGTAAAACTTACTTATAAACTTGGACTATGTCACTGAGATACGCGAATTTAAAACTTACTTATAAACTAGGAGCATGTCACTGAGATACGCGAATGTAAAACTTACTTATAAACTAGGACTATGTCACCGAGATACGTGAATGTAAAACTTACTTATAAACTAGGAGCATGTCACTGAGAAACTAGAAGGATGTCACTGAGATACGCGAATGTAAAACTCTAGATATATGTCGCTGATATTCCTTGAAGTTTCCAGATATATCAAATATTTAAAAACAAATTGGAAATATGTCACAGAAATTCCAAAATATGCAAAAAAAATGTGATAATTGTTTTCACCTGTATTGAAATTTATCAATAGCAGCCGATAGATGGCGAGGTTGTTCCCCGCAGCCGTAGTGTATCCGATCGTCTTCCGGTATCAGGTCAACGTCATGGAACACGAAGCAATTGTAGTTTTGTATCTTCAAAGATTCGGCATAACCAATGTTCATTAACAGCGCTCTATTAAACGTGTTGTTTCCCGACTGTGAGGAAAGAGTTAGGAAAGTTCATAAAATATATTACGAATATTATTCATCTCATGACAAAGTGTATATATATGGTTACTAGTTGACAACCAATGAAAGCCTTTAGTCTACAGTTTCTACACTGATATTTCCTTACTCTGTAGTTTCACACAGAGCTAGTACCTTCTACCCACAGGTTTATATGGTGGCCACAACACGGGTTCAGTTAGACATACGTCTAAATGATATCAATTTGGTAAGCTGAATTCGATCATATATTATTTTAAAATATATTGTATTTGTCTAAATTTACTTTTATTCACATTTAGTAACAACAAAGGAAATCGACTAACTGTTTCTGCTGTTTTGGCGGAAGTTGTCAATGAATTTTCATTTGAACAGTCGCTGTTTTCGTTTGTTTACTTTATGAGATAGCATAAGTGCACTTCGAGTGAAATATATCTACTTTGCGCATTATGCATGTCAACGATTATCATCTTTTAAACTGCACAAAAGAGAGAATCGAACGTAAAGTGGCTTGAAAGGGGGAAAGACATCTTTGTTTTGTTTTTGTACAAATATCGGTTTAAAGTAAAAGCAATAACAGTGTATGATACTTACCGTTTAATAACAATAAGGGACTGAGAAGAGTAGTAATTTTTCATAATGACATACACGAATAGGAATGATAATTTTAGGTGTTTACATCAAAGCTTTGTTGATCAAAGAAAATGTACCTGTTCAATAACATAAATTCCGTAGTGTATCTGCTGCCTTTGTAGAAAAGGATGCATGTTATACAGGAAGCGTCGTAACTGTTTCTCCCTATTCCGGTACGGTATTATCACAGCCACCCTGTGACGGCTTTCACATTCCACAGGGGAATAACAGCCACCGGAAAGTAACAGCGAGTATTCAGCTTCCAATTCAGCAAAAGATGGAGAATTCAAATACGTAGCTAGAGGCCCAACTGTAATAAACAGACTTATTAAACAACAGAGAATGGGGAACCTGTACAACTTTATACTGTATTTCGGAAATAGTAACAATTTAGATTGTACTGACAGTTACTGTATACTGAGAATTAGTGAACTTGTAGATTGTACTGACAGTTACTGTATACTGAGAATTAGTGAACATGTAGATTGTACTGACAGATACTGTATACTGAGAATTAGAGAACATGCAGAGTGTACTGACAGCTACTGTATACTGGGAATTAGTGAACATGTAGATTGTACTGACAGTAACTGTATACTGGGAATAAGTGAACATGAAGATTATACTGACAGCTACTGTATACTGGGAATTAGTGAACATGCAGATTATACTGACAGTTACTGTATACTGAGAATTAGTGAACATGCAGATTATACTGACAGTTACTGTATACTGAGAATTAGTGAACATGTAGATTTTACTGACAGCTACTATATACTGGGAATTAGTGAACATGTAGATTGTACTGACAGTTACTGTATACTGAGAATTAGTGAACATGTAGATTGTACTGACAGTTACTGTATACTGAGAATGAGTGAACATGTAGATTGTACTGACACAGTTACTGTATACTGAGAATTAGTGAACATGTAGATTGTACTGACAGTTACTGTATACTGAGAATGAGTGAACATGTAGATTGTACTGACAG